AGAGAGCGAGTGACAGTGTGTGTGTGCATTAAAGAGACAGAGAGACGGAGAGAGGGAGAAGTGCTCCTCTGTTGTCATGGCAACAAGCCTGTAAGCCCTGACAGTTGTCTGCCATGTTTTGTCTGCAGCCCAGGCTCAGTGCTTCGGAGGCACAATTAGACCCAAGACAGATTTGCATCTGTCAGTTGATATAAAAATTAAATATCTGTTACTTATTTATTTATTTATTTTTAACACGCTTCTTTATTTATTTATTTTTGTTTCAGCGTTATTGTGAGCTTTTAAATTGTTTATACTTAAATTATATTTAGCTCTTTGGTGAATTGTTGATAAATTCATCAACCTATAACGTCTATCAAAATGATCATCTTAGTCGTGTTCTTAAGTAAAAATGACCCAGATTATAAAATAAATGTTTTAAAAATTCCTGCTTCGAGCTTTCCAGATGAGAGGAATCAGGGCTTTTCTTTGTTATGCATGAGAGCACGCTGAATATATTTGGGCTTTCTGTTTGTAAAAACAACACCAGGGAGCTGCTGGAGCTGCAGGAAATCGGACCCATTTTTTTTTTTTACTGTTACTTGCGATATTTTACAGTGAATAAAATAAATAGCTGCTGTCCAAAATAATCATGTTAACATTAAAATCTTATTGTGAAAATATGAAGATTTTACAGAATTCCGTGTGGATTTTTGCTGTGAAGATCGCATGTTTTATCATTTTGTGTTTCAAATGTATTACTCATTAATTTGAATAAACGCTTTTTTTTTTACTTCGGGTGGGCGAAGAAAGACTATATCTAGCATTAATTTACCCCCTACAGTCATACAGTGAAGTCAATGATACTGCTGCGCTTGATATTACAGTCACAGAGGACAAATCAGGTGTGCGTGCAGCCGTGAGATTTAGGCAAATTAGTTTTTTTTAATTATTCAAGAAATTATCTAGCAATACATTTTTAAATTAAGTAATTATCCCGAACAACACACAATTTCCCAGAGCTGAACGTGATGCTTTTAGAGGTCTTCTATTCCTGACTACTAGCCGAAACCCCAGACATGTATTAAGTGTATAACATTATAAAGTGGCAACACGCAATAATAATATAGCCTTTGAAAATGTATTTTTAGGATGCAATAGCACATTTACTACGCATAATTAAAATGCAATGTTATTTTAGTTACGTTTTTCGTATTTATTTTTATACGGACAGTATATAACGAAAGGTGCTGTTAAATAATCTGGCATGGTGAATTGTCGCCTCCTGTTGGCCGAAAAGCGACGGAAAATGTCATTGCTAATAAAGTTTGATTGACAGAATTTGAATCCAAGATGGCGGCGCGCGTACCGCTGTCTATGAAGATGTCACCCTCAGCTTCTTTGGGCTTAAGGCTTCTTTTTAAAGAGCAACATTCCTCCGGAAAGCTGCTGAAATCTCTCAGCGAGTTCTACAGAAGAGGTGAGGTTTGTTTTCAGCCAGTTTAGACTGTTTAAAGTAACCGTCCGCGGCTCTAATCATAACCTTGTCCTACTTTTACTTAACATAATTGTGTACGCTTTTCCACGTTAACCTGGCATAATGCATATTTTTGAGGTTTTGTACAAACTTACCTTGTTATGCTCGTCGGTTTTTCCTGCCCTTTGAGCTGTCAGAGTCGTTACCCGCTAGTTATTCGCCCACCAGAGCAACGTTATCGTTACTGTCCGAATCACCCAAAAATCATTGTCGTAGTGGTCTAAAAGCTTTGCGGAGAGCTAACTTATCGGTAACGTGCGTGTTGTTACGGTTTTTAAGGCTACTCTGTGAAAGTCCGGCAGGCGGAGGAGGAGAACGGTGTTAGCGCCGCCGGCTTCAGCGGCCCCCTGGATCACTACACCGGGCTGATCAGAGATGGGACGCTGCGGGAGGATGAGCACCAGAAAGCGGTGATGCAGAAACTGGACGAGCTGCACAAAACTCTGAGAGGATACAGCAACACCCCGACATCTCTCTTCTCCAGGGTAGGTAGAAGAAGGTAGAATATAATAATATTAAGTGAATATTAGTGCAGAGCAACGTGGTTTACAATGTTGGCAATATTAGAGATTAATCTTTACATTTGTCCAACTTTACTCAGCCTTTAACTTGGTTATTATCCAAATTATGAAGTGTTTTTGCATCACAGAGTATCACAAAGGTTTTGGAGTAATAAAATGCTGTTATTGTGTAGCATTCACACTCCAATGAATGGGGCATCTTGCATAAGGATACTTAGGTATTCAGACCTAAGGTACTCAGGTGGGTGGCTGTATTGGAGGGAGGGTTAGCACTGTTGCCTCACAGCAAGAAGGTCCTGGCTTTGAATCCACCATCTTGCCAGAGCGTTTCTGTGTGGGGTTTGCATCTTCTCCCCTTGTCTGTGTATCTTTTCGCTGGGTACTTCGGCTTCCTAGCAGGGTTAGGTTAACCAGTAATTCTAAATTGTTCATAGGTGTGCATGTGAGTGGTAGTTGAGCACCTGTGCTCAACTATGGCAGCTGGGGTAGGCCACAACCCTGAATTGGATAAGTGAAAGAGGATGGATGGATTATATATACAGGGGTCCCTTTGGCCATGTTACCTACCATAAATTTCATATATTTTCCCTATTTCCTGTCCATCTATCCATCCATCCATCCATCCATTTTCTGCTTATTCAATTCAGGCACTGGAGCCAGTCCCATTTGACGCTGGTGTACCCGGAGAGAAGCCGTTTGAGCACATGAAAACTGTGTCTTACGATAATATGTGCCTTGAGGTGACTGCTGTTTTGATTTGGTGCAATATAAATAACCATGCATTAAACTGAAAAGGCCCCAGGGTACAACAGTACTAACAGTTACACCACTGTGCTGCTCTACATGTGACCGTTTCACATTCAAAAACATTAACACAGAAAGTCCAGTGTTAATGAAAACACGTGAAACGTGGTTTTTCAGTTTACTACTTTGTCTTCATCTTCTTCTGTTGCTCCTCCAGTTAGAGGTTGCCAGAGCAGACCATCTGCCTAAATCTCACCCTGCTCCTAGCATCTTCTTCTGCCACACCAACCCTCTGCATCCATGAATCTTTTCTGTGGTCATCCTCTTTTCCCCCTGCCTTAAAACTCCATATTCAACATTCTTCATCCCATATATCCACTGTCCGTCCTCTGCAAGTGTCCAAAATATCTCAGCCTCTCCTCTCTAACCTTGTCTCCAACCTGCTCAACCTGAGCTGCCCCTCTGATGTACTCTTTCTAGTCCAGCTTGTCCATCCTGTCAACACACTCCACCCTGCCTGTGCTCTGTTTTTCACATTTGTCAGGTTACCACTGTGTCTGAGGAACGTAAGAGCGGCTCTCTTTCATGCTTTATTTTCTTTGCTGATAATTTCAGCAGCATGCCTTTTTAAAATTTGCCTCTACAGTGTTTCTCTTATCTTCTTACTCAGTCTCATCAGCTGTAGGCTTTGTTGACATAACTTGCGCTCTTACTGAGTGTGATTCCTTAAAAAAAAAGCCTGTGTGTTGGGCATGCTTTGTTCAGGTCACACTTTAAAAAAAGGAATTAGTGAAAGATTCCTAAATAATTTGCCATCTATTTGTCTATATTAGTTTATAATGATGATTTTTGCTCATTTTTACTTGTTTCTGCATCTTTTAGTTTTTCACAAAACCAAAGCCTCCCAAAGGTTACTACATCTACGGTGATGTTGGTAAGCCATGGAACTCACAGAATTGCATATCTCAATGTAATGAAAATAAGATTTGTTCCTAACTCAGAAGATCTCTTTTTTTTTGTTCGTTTGTTTCAGGCACGGGGAAAACGATGGTCATGGACATGTTTTATTCATATGTGGAGACTGAGAACAAAAAGAGGGTTCATTTCCATGGTTTTATGTTGGACGTGCATAAAAGTGAGTACAGTTGTTAGTTAAGCTGCATTTAAGAGAAAAAGGGGGGTGAGCTGTGTTTATCAATGCAACTTTGGACTTTCTCTGCTTCTAGTGAACATGTGGGGGAAGATAAGGTGTCTTTGTTTTATTGGCAAAAATAAATACTGGAGTGAAACTGAGTTTTGTTCCAGATAAATCAAGTCTCTTGTATCTGTGCCGTAAAAGAAGATTGCAAATGTATATCTTTTTTCTACATCAGTACATAATCCATTTGGATATATTGTGTCACTCCTAAACTTAAACTTAGCTGTGTAAGGATTTTTGTGTATTTACTAAAATCCACTTGTCACTAATGGTAAAAGCTCTAGCATGAGACACAGTTTTGTTTTTTAAATTTATTTTTCTGTGATTTGATTTGTGGAGATTCAAAACATTTACCTTTTGAAATACTGTAGTATTTTCTCCAGTTTAAGCAGTACTTCACATACAGTCAAACAGTCAGTCAGTCAAACGAAAGATTTAAGAGGACTCTAAGTACAGCCTTACTGCTTCCATAGCAATTAAGAGGGTAAGTAGCAAATTAAACTCAGCATATGAGCACAAACACCTCATAACAACTGTAAACACAGCGGTGGAGGGGTGATTATTTGGGCTTGCATTGCAGCCACAGGACCTGGGCACTGTGGTCATTGAGCTGACCGTGAATTCATCTTTACAACAAAGTATTTTAGAGTCAAATGTGAGGCCATCTGTCCAAACTGGACCAAGAACAAGTGATCCCAAGAACACCAGGAAATCTACAACAGAACAGCTGAAGAAGACAAGAATCAGTGTTGTAATGATCCAGACCTCACGCTAACTGAAATATTGTGGTGGGACATTAAGAGGGTTGTGAATGAACAAAAAAACCCACAAACCTCAATGAACGAAACATATGTTGTAAAGGGGAGGGCGCAAAATTCCTGCACAACGATGTGAGAGAAAGTTGTGCAGAAACAATTATTTAATAATGGCAACTTTGTCCAATATCCTGTGCAGACAGCCATATAGAAAAGAAAGAGTCTTGTGCAAAACAATATATGTTACCCTATCTATTGCATGCTTATTATACATAAAATATTTAATATTATAATATTGTAAGAATGTGGTAGTTTGCATTTTCCACTTGGTTTTTCTGGGATCTATATTTGTCTATTCTTACAGACTTACGATTAACAGTAACTGCATTTATCTTTTCGATCTACAGGGATTCATCGGCTGAAACAGAGCATGCCAAAAAGGAAAGCAGGAAAAATGGCCAAGTCTTATGATCCCATTGCTCCGGTTGCAGAGGAAATCAGTGAAGAGGCTTGTCTGTTGTGCTTCGATGAGTTTCAGGTACTTTTAAATCATCTTGTAAAAAAATATTTAGTCTCTATAACATGTAACCTCATGTAACAATCATGTTGTTGTGCTTTACCCACATTTCAGGTCACTGATATTGCAGACGCCATGATTCTCAAGCAGCTTTTTGAGAATCTGTTTCTAAACGGTGTTGTTGTTGTGGCTACTTCTAATCGTCCGCCTGTAGGTAAGTAATGTCTAGTGTAATATGATTATAATTGTGTTCTTAACACGGCTTAAAACTCCTTTGGTTTACATAAAAAACAAGTAATGCCTTTAAAGCACAATCCTATGGGATTGTAATCATAAATGTATAAGCTATAATGACACTCAGGAAATTATTCATCATATTAAAGTAAACATGTGCATACATCATTTGACAAAAACAACTGCAATAAATATTGTGTTACAGCGGTCCCTCGCTATAACGCGGTTCACGATTTGCGGCCTCGCTATTTCACTGATTTTTTTTTTTTTGTTTGTACAATTTTGCATGCTTTTTATTTTTGTTGTTGTTACAGCACATTGTGTTCTGCGTCCTGATTGGCTGTAGACCATTGCAAAATGCAGCTGCTCGCATTTTAA